AGACACGTACCCTTAGTAGAGTTTGCCTACAACAACAGTTTCTAATCGAGTATTGGTATGGCACCATTTGAGGCCTTATATAGCTGACCGCGTAGATCCCCTGTATGTTGGGCCGAGGTTGGTGATGCACCTTTGTTGGGCCCAGAGTTGGTGCGGGAAACGACGAAAAAAGTTGAACTTATCCGTAAGAGGTTGGTTACAGCCCAAAGTCGCCAAAAGAGTTATGCCGACAGTTGGAGGAGGCCTTTGGCATTTGAGGTGGGTGACCAAATCTTTCTAAAAGTATCACCTAGGCGGGTTTGATGAGGTTTGGGAAGTGTGGGAAGTTGTCCCATCGATTTGTTGGCCCTTTCGAGATCCTTGAGAGAATTGGTGAGGTTGCTTACCGTTTAGCTTTGCCGCCGCAACTGTCCAGAGTGCATGACGTGTTTCATGTTAATATGCTTCGAAAATATGAGCCGGATCCATCACATGTATTAGATTGGACAGACTTAGAGGTTGATGAGGATGCCTCGTATGAGAAGAGACCAGTACGAGTCTTGGATAGACGGGACCAAGTCTTGCGAGGCAAGACGATTCCCTTAGTCAAGGTATTGTGGAAACATCACGGAGTTGAAGAAGCTGCTTGAGAACGTGCATTGGAGGTCCGAGAGAAATATCCAGACCTATTTGTGGGTATTTGAGTTTATGTGGAAAATTATGTTTTGTTAATGAACTATAAAAACATTGTATATGTTTTGGGTTGTAAAACATTGTATGTGTTTTGAGATTATGAAAGTAGCATGAATGTTGAGTATGTTTCGGAAACATGAGTTGGATTTGAACATTGCATATGTTATTTGAGTTTCGAAAATATAAACTTGTTGAAAACATTGAATATGTTTTGGGAAGCACAAGATATATGTGTTGAGCTTAATGAAATTTTGAAAGAATACATGTTGATAATGCATAATAACCTACATTTTGTAAGGTGGTTCTCTCCATGAGAGATGGAATGATCGGTAATGGATCATGTCGGTAAGTGGTATATTGTAATCATATTGAAAATTGAGGTAAGCTTGATTTTGTAACTTGAATTGAATTTTGGGGACGAAATTCTTTAAGGAGGGGAGGTTATAGCGATCCTGGTTTTTCCCCATTACTTATAGTGTTCCGGACTCGAGTTCTGTCGTTGTATGTTGTTGTCTGTATCTCGTTCCCATCCTTTAATTCTTTGTATTTGAATTTTGGGATGTGTTGGGTGAGTTTGGAACAGGTTGGTTGTGAGTTACAACAAAAAGGTGCTGCCTAGGTTTTGGCCTCTTCGCTCGAGCGAGCCTTTTTGCGCTCGAGCGAGCCTTGGGTGTTTGCATCTTTGCTCGAGCAAGGGTTTGTGCGCTCCAGCGAGTATTGTGGGTCTTTAAGTTTCTTTTTCAGATGCAGCTTCCGCTCGAGCGAGCTTTCTTGCGCTCGAGCGAGCCGTGTGTCTTGTGTCTCTTCGCTCGATTGAGAAGTATTGCGCTCGAGCGAGTGTCTGCATCTCTTTTAGACCTGAATATTGGTATTCTTCGCTCGAGCGAGCTTTCTTGCGCTCGAGCGAGCTCGCTCTATGTTTTGTATTTCTTCGCTCGAGCAAGAACTCTTGCGCTCGAGCGTGCTTCTACGTTGCAGACCTGAAGCTTTGCACTGTTCACTTGAGCGACGCTTCTTGCGCTCGAGCGAGGTTCTTTTGTGTCTGGTCGCTCGAGCGACCACTCCTTCGCTCGAGCAAGCCCTGTATATATCAGTTCACAGCAGCGAGTTTACACTTCATCTTTTCATCTCATTTTTCACTCTAAACCCTAAAATCAGCAGCCTCTGTTTGTACACACCCTCTCTCTCTACGAATACTACATGTTCTAGGAGTTTTCTACCCTAGTCCTTTTGTAAGAAAGTTAAAGCTTGGCTTGGGCTTACCTTTGATCCAAAAATTTGTGGATTTGGAGCATCTTGGGTTTCACTCTTCTTCTCCTTTGAGCTTCTCCATTTGAGGTAGGGATAAACTACTCATCTTATGAGCTTCGACATAAATTTTAGTCATTTTGATTACATAGTGAAATTATGGAAATTTGGAAAGGTAGGGTTTTAAATTTGAAATGCATAAAAGAGGGGTTTTCAATTGTTGAGCTCCATGTGTATGTGAGACCTTGAAAAATGGGATTATTGGTGTAAAATTGATGAAATTGAGCCTTAGGGTTGAAGTTTGAGAAAAGAGGGAAAATGCCCTAATTGAGTTAAAATAATTAATTTGGTAAATTGTGAGAATATGAAATTGGGTTGAAAACCTTGAAATTAGGGGAAATTGTGATTGAATGGTGTAGTTAGGTTGACGAACCATTCACCGATGGAAAATGTAATAAATTATCTGTTTGATAGATTTATTTATCTGTTTAGAAATAACTATTTTGGACTATTGGTGGAGGATAGTCTTAATTGTTGTAGACACTGTATGATGATTAGGGAAATTGAAGCTAATCAATTGGTTTATGTCATTGAATGTGACAGTGAGATTAACACATTGAAAATGTGAATTGTTGGGTCATTGTATATGACTATGTGTTTAAATACATTGTATATGTATATTGTTTGGGAGGAGATAGGGGATGTACTCTATTGTTTGGGAGAAGATAGGAGTTGGACTCCATGGATAATTAAGTTGGCCAAAGTGTCCAAGGTGCAAGTCCCGAAATCTTTTATATATTTGGGTGCCGGTTCCCTCGGACGTAGTTCCGTAAACTGGTAGGTGAATAGAAGTGTTGAATAATGTTTGTTATTGAAGTGTTGATGTATGAGTTGTAGTCTCATTCTGTTTAAACGGTTTGGATAACATTGGACTATGTCAATGAATTGATTTTGATACATAATGGAAAGAGAATTGTATGTAGTGTAACGTTGATTTGTTACAAAGATGATGTATATGGTTTATTAAGTGTTAAACATTTGTCAGATACTATTGTTTTAGTTAATTCTCATATTCTGTTTAGCATATCTCTACTGGGCTTTGGCTCATCTTTCTTAGGACACCATTTTCAGGTACAGGTGATATGTCGTCTCCAATGACGTAACTTGGGAGGTTTAGAGGCTGAAGGCTTATTTTTGTTGTTACCTTTTTGTGTTACATGTAATTGAAGCCAATGGCTTAATATGTAAAAGAGTTAGGACTTTTCTTTTTATTGTAACCAAGTAGTTATTTGGAAAGGTGTAAGCCTGTAGAACATCTATCTTGTTGTTCACATATAACATCTTTTGTAACGAACACTCTGACGAATGTATATATAATGTTTCTTTTATTGTTTATGAATCTTATGAATGATTGTTCTAAGTCTTATTTTGAGAGCGTTACAGACATTGTATTAGCACAATAAGGATCAATTAGATTACACAACGTTAGATTCATTTCACCTGCTAACTTACATTCTTTTATACAATAGTTATAGAATTAATACAATCAAAGTATGTGTATAAGAAATACTGAATTAATTTGAGTACATTAATAATTGAATATAATTTCTTTTATAAATATTGTGAAAAAATTATTTTACAGGAATAACAAATTAATCTACTAAATATTTCTGAATTTTTCAAAAAATATATATAATATTGAATTTTTCAAATTAAAAAAAAAATGACACGTACCTCTTGTGTTAATAAAATACTCAACAAAATTGATGATATTGACTGAAATATGAAATAATTGGATGAGTGGTGTTACATTTTCCTAATTTTGCCCTCCTAATTCCACCCTCAATGACATGGCCCACCCCCTATGTGAAGCGATTCCACACCCTTCTCTCTCTTTCTTATATTTAGCATTCCTAATTTCCACATCATTGAGAGCAAAATTTGATGAGCAAAATTAGGGGATTATTATAATTAGAAATCATCTTATACATGGTGAAGTACTCATAAAAGCAAAAATTAGTAAAATTAATTTTTATAAAATTAATGATAAAAAAAGAATGGCAAAACCAAACAGAAAACTGAAATGGGATAGTCACTGCTATAAGAGATTCAATTATTTGGTCATTAATGAACACAAAGGAAAAGGATAAAAAATAAGGGCCGATTGACAAAAAAGAAAAAATTTATAAGATAATGATCTATTTGAACCTAAAGGATTAATTTCAACAAATATTGGATTTGACAATAAATCTGGAAACTTAGATTTTTTTGGATGAGTGGTTGTGTAGTGAAAATTAAATTTGTGTAGTGTGGAATTCATATATAGAATAAACATGAATAACAAGATAATAATTTTAGGTAATTTCTGGATTCGTAGTATTACTATTAACTTAAATCATAGTATGTTTATTTGCTAAATATTAAGTTTTTTTTAATGTTAAACAATGTTTGTTTAATATTATGTTTTTGCTTAATTATTGAATATTATAACAGTAGTTTGTGTGATGGGCATATTATTATTTGTCAAATTTATGATAAGTTAAATTTTTTTAATAATGTTATATGATTTTTTTTAGTAATAGATTATCTAAAAACGTAGTTCCAAATCGAACTGAATTGTGTTCAAATAATTTGGGTCCGATTGGTTCAATAATTTTAATGATTTAATTTGATTACAATTTTTTTAACCGTAGACAATAAATTAATTTTGATTTTATCCAAATTAAAAAATAAAGAAATAATCATGCTAACAAATGCCCCGACACACTTGATAAGATGCAATAAATATATGTTTTAATACAGTTTATAGTATATTATTAAACAAAATACAAAATGGAGGGCAATTTTGTAATTGAACATTATTTTGGCATTTAGTGTTAGATTCAAGCAGCTTTCATTCTTTTATATATGCTATAAATTAAAATTAAATTGATCTACAAATTTTTAAAAAAAAATTAATTAAAATATTTTTAAAAATTATTAAAAATATAAAAATACGAATTGAAAACGCAAAAAATTATTTTTAAAAACTCCAAAATCATCAGGTTAAGACAATAAGTGAAAGCTACTAAAATGCATACCTTCAAAATAGCTCATTAACAATCCAAGGACTGTACTAGTTCACCATTGATCTCAATAATGGGAATGTGAACTATCTTCAACCAATCTTCACCAGTCTCTTTCTTGCACCGGCGCTCCAAATGTGGACATCCTCCAATTTTGATCCTTTTCAGAGTCTTTAGACCCCGCAGCTCACATGGCAAACACTTCAGATTATGGCAATTCTCAATCTCCAAGTATGATAATGACCAGAGGCTTCCTAGCCAGTTTGGTAGATAAAGTAGTCCTTGACAATTCCATATCTCCAAGTCTCGGAGAGCACTCAAATGTTGCATATCCATCGGAAAATCATGTATCTCTGGACATCCATTGATAAGCAAGTCCCGGAGTACAGTCAGATATCGCATTCCGTCAGATAAATACAGTTTCTTACAATTTTGAATACTTAAGGATCTAAGTGAAGTTAAGCCTTGCAATCCTTGCACTGGAAGAGAAGTAAGACTGTCACATTCACTTATATACAGCGTCTCCAAATGGTTTAAGTTTTTGAGTCCTGACAAATTTTCAAGTTGAGGACAATAATCAAGGTTTAACAGCTTTAGAGAAGATAGACAATCCAGCTGATTTGGCAGAGTCTTGAGATTGTACAGAGAAATTAGCCGTAGTGACTCCAAGTCCTTGTGACTCTGAAACAGTTCATCTGGAAGAATCTTCAACTTAGAGCCAAGTACCTCAAGATCGGAAAGCGAAGTGACATTTATCACTGACCTAATTAACCTTTCATTGCTTCCTTCCCAAATTGTTAATATCTCGAGTGTTCGAAGGAAAGGAAATTCAGTCAACTTGGGACATGCCTCTATATGTAAATTTCGTAGGCAAGGAAAAATTTCTTTTCTATCCACAATTGTCCATTTCTCCAAACTTGGCATTACATTCAAGCTGAGAATCTCCAATGCAGGAAATGAATCTTCCCCATCTCCATAACTCTCATGATTAAAGTACTTGAGAGAATCCATGGAACTGATCTTGAGAATTTTTAGGGAGGTTAGTTTCCCAAGAGGCGGAAGACGTTCACATTTACAAGATTCTAGAGAGATCTCAACCACATTTTTAAGAACCAAACCTGACATCCAGTTTGGAAACCTTGAACCTTGGTAGAAACTTATGCTCAACTTCTTCAGGTTCGAATTAGGTCGGAGATTCTCAAGAATTTCTTCAACATTCCTTGGTATGCTTTCTTTGTTGCTATCGCTCCAACATAAATTCAAAGAAATGAGTGTATCTCTGGACATCCATTGATAAGCAAGTCCCGGAGTGCAGTCAGATATCCCATTCCGTCAGATAAATACATTAGTTTCTTACAATTTTGAATACTTAAGGATCTAAGTGAAGTCAAGCCTTGCAATCCTTGCACTGGAAGAGAAGTAAGACTATCACATTCACTTATATACAGTGTCTCCAAATGGTTTAGGTTTTCGAGTCCTGACAAATTTTCAAGTTGAAGACAATAACCAAGGTCTAACAGCTTTAGAGAAGATAGACAATCCAGCTGATTTGGCAGAGTCTTGAGATTGTACAGAGAAATTAGCCGTAATGACACCAAGTCCTTGTGACTCTGCAATAATTTATCTGGAAGAATCTTCAACTCAGAGCCAAGTATCTCAAGATCGGAAAGCGAAGTGACATTTATCACTGACCTAATTAACCTTTCATTGCTTCCTTCCCAAATTGTTAATATCTCGAGTGTTCGAAGGAAAGGAAATTCAGTCAACTTGGGACATGCCTCTATATGTAAATTTCGTAGGCAAGGAAAAATTTCTTTTCTATCCACAATTGTCCATTTCTCCAAACTTGGCATTACATTCAAGCTGAGAATCTCCAATGCAGGAAATGAATCTTCCCCATCTCCATAACTCTCATGATTAAAGTACTTGAGAGAATCCATGGAACAGATCTTGAGAATTTTTAGGGAGGTTAGTTTCCCAAGAGGCGGAAGACGTTCACATCTACAAGATTCTAGAGAGATCTCAACCACATTTTTAAGAACCAAACCTGACATCCAATTTGGAAACCTTGAACCTTGGTAGAAACTTATGCTCAACTTCTTCAGATTCGAATTAGGTCGGAGATTCTCAAGAATTTCTTCAACATTCTTTGGTATGCTTTCTTTGTTGCTATCGCTCCAACATAAATTCAAAGAAATGAGATCAAGTTTTCTCTTCAAATTGGCCCTTTTTGCATCTTCTGAATTTCTTACATTTTCAAGCTCCTTTATGCTCAACTCTCCCCCAAGATTTAATTCCTTCAGCTCGCTAATTTGGTAACCCTCATCTTGGCCCACAATGAATATGCTTAGTCTTTGCAGACAAGTTAATTGTCCCATATTAGCAGGCATAGAAGTCAGGGAGTCACACCCTTTGATGTCTAGGCATGTGAGATTTCTCATATACTTCAAGTGTTTGGGCAACTTGCAAAGCTCTTCACAATAATTTAGTTTCAATGTTTGCAGGTGTTGGAGACCACTAATTGATTCTGGTAGGATTTTTATGTAAGAGTATGACATGTTGAGGAACCTAAGATGCTTGAAATTGGAAATTGACACTGCTACCTTCTCATCAATTTTGCCACTCAAATCTAACAACCTAAGATACTTCTGTTTTGAAATCCAAGAAAAATCATTGTCCTTGTAAGAATATTGGTTTGAAAGTAAAATGCAAGATCGCAAAGATGGAACTTTAAACATAACCTCATTACAATGAATCATCGGTGTTGAACTTACATTAAAAGACAAGTGACGAACCTTTTTTGGTAGTTTCAGCCCCTTACGAGAGTCCATGATAAAACATTCGTGTCTCATAATAGATTCCGCAAGATCATGCATAAGATCATGCATTTTACATGTTGTTTCACCTTGCTCTTCCGTCACATCTTGTAAGAAAGACCTCCAAACTAATTGATCAAAAATCTGATGGCCCATATCATACAAAGTTGTTTGTCCTCTAGATGGAATAAAACCATTCGCCATCCACATCTCTATCAACACGTCTTTCTTCATTATATAGTCTTTGGGGAATATGCAACAATAAGCAAAACATTGCCTCAAATGTGGAGGTAAAGCTTCATAACTCAATCTCAAAGCAGGTAAGATAGCATTTCCACCATCTGATAAATCCAAAATTTTACTCTCCTTCACAGATAACCACTCACTTTCACTGCGTTTAAATTGCATAAGGCTTCCTAAAGCCTTTATTGCTAAGGGTAATCCTCCACATTTTTTCACAATATCCTTCCCAATCAATTCCAATTCCAATTCCCTTCCTCTGTTGCCAAAAGCACGTAGCTTAAATAAGGACCAAGAATGATCCTCCGACAAATAAGCCAAGTGGTGTATAGGAAGTATTGTAGCCATAATAAGAGCAACTTTCTGAATCCTTGTAGTTACTATAATAATACTGCCTTTAGCTCCACACCTCAGAGCCTGTTTTAGCCCATCCCATTTCTCATGGCACTCATTCCAAACATCGTCCAAGACAAGTAAAAATCTCCTACCGCCCAATTTTTCCTGGAGGCGAAGTAAAAGTGGATCCAAGTTTGAGATATCACATCCATGGCCTTGTACGGACTCTAGGATTGCTCTTATTAGTCTCTCCACATTGAAATCATCAGAGACGCAAACCCAAATACGCAACTCAAAGTGCCTCTTTACCCTTCCATCATTGTAGACCAATTGAGCAAGTGTAGTCTTTCCAAGTCCCCCCATACCACAAATAGCATAAACAGAAACATCATCATCGCAACTGAAATTGCCGATCAAAAGTTCAATTATCTCTTCTTTCTCATGATTTCTCCCATAAATTTCCGATTCATTAACGAGTGAACAAGTTTGTCCTCTCTCCACCTCATGAACTTCAGTTTCCACAACAATCTCCCTCAAATGAAACTTACTTCTCTCGCTTGCAATAGCATCTAACTTATTCTTCATATCCATGATCTTATGCCCCATTTTTAAGCGAAATAAAAGACAATTAGTCATCCTACTTACTTTGGATTTGCAACCTCGTTGAGAATCCAACTTTCTTCTCAGACCTTCAGTCACGATCTCATCGATTAAATTGTCGGCATCATAAGCTGCATCCTTGAGCTTTCTCAGCCAATTATTGACAGCCAAGCTCTTCCTCTGCTTTGCCTCAGCATCTTGGAGGACTGATTGAATGGTACTGAGCGTGCTCTCGAGGTTATCCAGCTCAGATTTCAGGCCCCGTGCTATCCCAAGCTCTCGCAGGGCTAAAGAGTTCAAGTTACTCAAGATTGTGTTCACTAGGGCAGAAAGAAGTATATGAGCCATAACTCTCTCTCTATCGAAAATGCAAGGAGACAACAATTGAAACTCGCACCTTTGACAATCAAATGGAAACCCTCGATTCAACAGATCTCATATCACCTCACATTACATTAGTAAAGGCAATGCTGTTATTTCCTTTTTATTTTATTTTATTTTATCTTTTATTATTTTATTTTTTATTTTTTTTTTGGCTAAAAAATAACCAATAAATTTTACTTTGCACTTAAAGATTATTATTGAATCCTATACAATGTATTTGGTTTTAATTTTCTAAATTTAATTTTTTTAAAATTGATATTTTTGTCGTTCATACTTTTCATTTTTAGTGAATAATTTTAAAATTTTAAGTAATTTTTTTTACTTTTTAAGATACACCTTACCTAGATGTATCTAAATAGAAAAATATTTGTCAAAAAATATTTTAAAAATTAATAAATACACAAAAATATAAAAAAAAAATGTATTGAATTTTTATTTTTTTGTATTTTTGGTATTTAGTGAGTTTTTTTTAAAAAAAAATCACCAATATTATACTTTTTAAGTGTATTTATATTAGGTGTGTCCTAAAATTTTTTTAAAAAATTGCTTAAAATATTAAACAAATTCAGTGAAAACCAAAAAAAATATGGAAAATGAAAGAATAGAATTTTTTAAAAAGTGAATTCTGAAAATTGAAACAAAATAGAGTGATAAGTTTTTATCTGAACAACTAAATCCTAATTTTCACAAAATATTTTTAAAAAGTTCGTTGTTTGATAATGGTATTTGTTATTTCAATTTTATCTCTTATTTAATATGAATAATAATTTTATAAATATTTTTAATCTAAGTAAAATTATATTTTTTAATTTTAAAATTTATGATATTAATTTTAAAAAATCATAAACTACAATGCAAAAATTATCAATAAGTTATTTTTTGTTTTAAATATTACTATTGAGTTATATCAAATTTTAATATTAACAAATAAGGGGCATTTGATAGTATGATTCAACAATTAAAACTTAATTAATTAAGTGATAATCAATTAAATTTATTTATTAAAAATTTAACTATCTCATAAAATATAAGTTAAAAATTATGTAAGTTTTAAGTTATATCAAAATTTATTTAATTCTGATTGAATTTATAAAAATGAAACATAAGCATTGATATATATTATTACAAATTCACTACCACCACCGTTACCATTACCACCACCATCCATCACTATACCACCACTACCATGCCACTGCCACTACCCCCACCATCATGCCGCCGCCGCCGCCGCCGCTGCCGCCGCCACCACCACCGCCACTATTATCATGTCACCACCACACCACCGCTACCGTTACCACTATCACTACCAACACCGCCTCCACTACTACCACCACCATCATATTATCATCTCCACCACTATCACAATATAAAAATTAAAATATATAATTTGAAAATAATAAATTTCAAATTTTATTTTATGCATATCAAACAATTTATTTTTTACCAGCACTTAAATTTTTATTAAATAGCTTTTCAGTTTAAAAAATTCAACGTTTAGTTTCTAATACTTAATTTTCAGTCTTCAATTTTCAATTTTCAACTTTATCAAACACCTGGTGGGTCCGTTTGGCAAACAAGGTTAGGGCTAAAATAGCCACAAAAAACAAAATTGGCTATTTTACCCACAACAAACAAAACATCACATCCAACCCATAATCATTACACTATTCTCTCACAAAAAAGTCAAAAAAGTCAAAAAAGCACTTCCCAAACCAAGCTTTTTAGCCCAGGCTAAAATAGCCAAAAAAGCCAAAAAGCCAAACCACTTCCCAAACGGAGGCAGAGTCTCTCTCTCTCTCTCTCTCTCTCTCTCTCTTAATTGTTATAAAAAAGTTCAATTATTCATAATAATATATTTTATTTTATTTTTATCTTTCTCATTAAAATATGAACCAAAAATTTTGTAAATAATTTTAATTTGTTTAAAATTTTATAATAAAAATATTTGTAATTGTTGAAATTAAATAATTTTTTTATAAATAAAACATAAGTATAAGATTCATCAATTATCTCATGCATTGAGAAATATATAAAATTTTCATAGTATTATTTTTCATAACTCTTTATAATTTTAATAGAATTTAGCCTTTTTAGATTATTTATACTAAAAAAATTAATAAATTTAAAATAACATAAAATGATGCATTTTATACAACACTTGTTTCGATCTAATTATTATTTGTGATTTTTTAATATAATATTAATAAATTTTCAATTAAAAATTTTAATTGTAATTAAGTTAAAATTATTTATAAAATTGTTATTTATATTAAATGAGAAGGATACAACTGGGATAAGATACACCATTATAGAATAATGAATCTCTTGGAAACATTTTATTACAAATATGACTTTTATATAATATTTGATAAGACTCAATAGTAATTTTGAGAGCAAAATAAGACTTAGTGGTTAATTTTATTTTTTTGGGTCAAATTATTTATAAATTTTTTTAGAAAAAAATAACTATGTTTTTACCATGATAGTCAAACTCAACCACCAAGTCAAAATTAATAATAATAATATGAATAAATTATACATTTTTAGATTTGAAGAAAATAAATTAATTTTTAGAAATTTGACATAATTATACCGAATTCTCTTAATATTTTAATTCATATAATACGTAGCCATCTTTTTATCAGAAAAAATTATTAGTCGTGCAAAAAAAATGATATTATCATCTATTTTACATTAAAATAAAATTTTTATAGTGTATCTTTGTATCTTTATACTATATGTATTAATTTTAATTTATTTAATCTCACTAGTACATAAACAAACACAATCTATTTAATATCTCAAATTTAATATCACCATATTAGTAATTCACCCACTCAATTACGTCATATTTATAATCTTATACAACCTAATCCGATTAATAAACGGAGCATTTGTTGGTGCAAGTTAGGTTTCGTTTGGGAAGTGAATTGACTTTTTAGATTTTTAGATTTTTTAGTATGGGACTAAAATGTCTCGTTTGGGTTGAGTTTTTTTTTTTACTTTTTTTACTTTTATTAGAGAAAAAATGAAATGATTATAATTTGAATGTGGCATTTTATCTTGTTAACTTTTTATCTATTTTATTTTTTGTGACTATTTTAGCTTGATAGCCCATGCCAAATGAGGGCTTAATAAATTTTCTAAAACAATAAAAACGTGCATCCTAATTTTTTGTAAATATTTTGTGTCTTTTATTTCAAATGTTATTCCCTTAAATAAAATTATTGAAAAACAAATAAACAAACCAACAAAACTCTCCATTTTTAATTAAAAAGTTATGACAAATTATCAAATTGTTCACTTTATTCTTTTAGAAGTATTTTTGTAAAAAAATTAAAAAATTATTTATATACAAATAAAATACCACTCATTTGATTCCTTTGACCAATTATAATCCAACTTGGCTTATTTTATAAAGTAGATTAAAAAGTTGATTTTCAGATTTATTTATTTTTAACCTTTCTGAAAAAATATATAAAAAAATTTAAAAAAATAATGTAATTTAAAAAATTAAAAAATTATCTTTTAGCTGAATTTTCAAAATAACTCCTGGTCCTCATTAAGATAAATGCAGAAATTTGTTACGTAAAAGCAACTTAAAAAGTGATGTTGAGGTAATGTTTTAAAAAGTGATGTTGAGGTTGTGTTTGGTAGAGTTTTAGAATTATGATTTGAAAATAGAGTTGTATTTTAAATTTGTAAGTTTTAAAATTATGATTTGTGTGTGAAAAATTTGTTTGATTATGAGTTTTGAAAAGAGTTTTAAATTGAGTTTGTAATTTTTTATGTGACATATGATATTTGATTCAAAAACTTACAACTCATAATTAAATATATAACCCAAAATTCTATTCAAAGCTCATAAAAAATTTAAAAAAAAAATTGAAAATATTTTTTATTTAAAATATAAAAATAACAAGTGTAAAAAAAAAAGCACTGTTCGGGTCAACAGGCCGAACGTCTGGAGGACATCTGGGAGGATGACCGGGTAGACATATTTTCAAAAATGGGTGTGAAATTAATTTTTAAAAATTCTAACCAAACACAACACTCAAACCAAGGTATGAAATTACGTTTCTAAAACTCTACCAAACACAACCTTATTTTCTTTCTTAGCACAAAAACCATTTTTTCTCTCTCTACTCTATCCCTCTCTGACATCTCTCTCTACAAAAATAAAAATTTAAAAATAAAAACGGTTTTAGCTCTTCGGGGAGTTTTGAGAAGATAGTTAAAAGTTAATTTTTGACTTTTCACTAAGTTTTTGACTTTTTTAGAAAAGTAAGTTAGAAAGTTGATAAAAAGTTACTTTTGACTTTTTTTTATTAATATTTATTTAATATCACATCACAATTAAATGACTAAACTATCCATTGTTCAAAATTAAATGAATAATTTATAAACAAAATGCATAAGTATGAGATTCATCAATTATCTTATGCATTAAGAAATATATAAATTATTTATAGTGTTATCTTTCATAGCTTTTTGTAATTTTAATAGAATTTAACCCCTTTAGATTGTTTACTCTAAGAAAATTCATAATTTGAAATAAAATATAATAATGCACTCTATACTATAGTTATTTCGATCTAATTATTATTTGTGATTTTTTAATATAATATTAATAAATTTTCAATTAAAAATTTTAATTGTAATTAAGTTAAAATTATTTATAAAATTGTTATTTATATTAAATGAGAAGGATACAATTGGGATAAGATACACCATTATAGAATAATGAATCTCTTGGAAACATTTTATTACAAATATGACTTTTATATAATATTTGATAAGACTCAATAGTAATTTTGAGAGCAAAATAAGACTTAGTGGTTAATTTTATTTTTTTGGGTCAAATTATTTATAAATTTTTTTAGAAAAAAATAACTATGTTTTTACCATGATAGTCAAACTCAACCACCAAGTCAAAATTAATAATAATAATATGAATAAATTATACATTTTTAGATTTGAAGAAAATAAATTAATTTTTAGAAATTTGACATAATTATACCGAATTCTCTTAATATTTTAATTCATATAATACGTG